TGATGCAAAACGTGACCAATTGTACGTATGCGTTTATACGTACTAGATCTGATGTTATTTATAAATTGAGGACATTACGATTTTAAGAAAGAGGTTATGTAAAGTTGTTTGCAATTTTGTTTTTCCGTAATTTATTTACATGTGAATTTTGTGATTTGATCATCATAACCACTGCTGGGGGGACATTTGTGCGGATTGTTAACTACTGCAGATACATCCGGTACCAACACTTTAATATGGCTTCAAAAGCTCGACATAATATTTTTTATTTTTTTTAGTCAGCCATCCTATGACATCTTACATGCTAAATATTGTGACATCGAACTTTTCTCGAAAAAATCCTGAATTATTTTTTTGGAAGTTTATATTTTAATTGGACATTATCATAAACAATTGAAATCAATCACTGATCAGGACGGGATTTGATAAATCATATTTTTTTATAGTCGTAAATAGTATTAAATTAGTGTCGTTAGTTTATTATTTAACGATCCTTTAACTAATAAATCCGTATATATATATATATATATATATTCGAAATAGGAAAGATCTGATTTTTTTTGCAAAGAATAGACTTCGAAACAACTGGCCAGATTTTTTTTATTTTTTAACCTACGGGGCTACGTCACACGGTGATATCTAGGCTATTTAGGCGGATGAAGTCTCGGAAGTACAGCTAGAGTATTAAAAAGAAGTTAAATAATTAAGTCGAATTTGGAATTATTTTTCATTAACTATTTCTCTTTGATTTTTTATCTTATAGGAAAAAAAATCAAACACTAAACCCTACATCAAAATAATTTAAAAATTTCCTTTTTCATAAAGAACATAATCTAAAAAAATAGTGTTCACAAACCGGTTTGAAGAAAATGTGGCCAAACGAACAACAAATACACACAAAACTTATCACACGTGTTTAAAAGCACATGTAGACTATAAGTCCGTATTGTGCTATTACTCTAACGAAATTAGATATACATATAAAAGTCAAATTAATAACATCTTTTTTGGATTGGTAAAAAAATTAAAAGAATTTCGTTAGTTCTTAATTATTTGTTAAATTTAGTATTGACTCAGCAAGGGATTTGTATAGAAAAGATCACTGTCATTGTGGTTCTATGAAGTAAAACCCATAAAAGGTAATAAAGACTTTATCTCAATGTTTATGCTGACACAGCGCTGAGATCTGCGTCAAATTCCAGCTATTTTTTAACAGAATAGAATAGCTAGAGATTTGAGAGCAGTACCTTAGTTTCAGCTGTCTATTGAAAAATAAATAATACTTTTAACTTTGCGTTAATTTAACTGAGAAAATTTCATAGAACAAATACCACTTAAAATTCTATAACGCAATACCATATTCTAAAATAAATTGAGCTAGAAACATAATGAAAGAGATTCTACCTGACGAATCGATTCACATCTCAATTTTATCTTTATGATAAACTCAAATAACGATAAAAGAACAAACAAATCTAATAGAAATATACAAGTGTTTACGTTCTAGAAACGAAAACGTGACCTCAATATTTACACGCAAGTGTTATTATAATTTATTGAGTTGTAGCATCTGCGGTATCATATGTACTGATTTAGTTTGGTTGGGTTCAATTTTATATTTTTTACTACTAGGTAAAATAGCGAATGGAACAGTGAATGAAAAAAATATTTAAAATTAGATGTATCTAGGGTCGTAGCTCGGTGGCGTAGAGGACAAACGCCGCGGCTCGCAATCGTTGTTGTTAAGCAACTTTCGCAAGGGTCGGTCACGGGATGGGTGACACAAATATTATTATCTCGAGCTACTTCGTGCTTCGGAAGGCACGTTAAGTGGTTGGTCACGGCTGCATTTGTATTCGTTAATACCCTCCGAACCGCATTGGGCCAGCGTGGAGGGTCATGGCCCATCTTCCTTAACCATCTATAAGGAAGGCCTGAGCCCCTGAAGTGGGGACGTAAAAGGGCTGATGATGATGATGATGATGATGAGTTGTGTCACTTTTCACCAACCTTTCTTAGACGATGACAAACAATTCAAAATCAAAATCAGATGGGAAATGCGAATGACATATCTACTAAACAATCTCCGATGCACCCTCACATTTGAGGGATGGGTGTGGGATCCAGCAAGAACTGCTCCACATAGGTTACCGACCCTTTTTTAACGATATTGTACAGATCAAGTCGATGCTCTTGCGTCCTAGGAGATACTGAAGGTAAATAATACCGCGCCATAAGTTGACAATAGTTTTGTATTCTAAAACAAAACAATAATTGGAAATGTCAATTTATATATACCTTTTTGATCAAACATAACACCGCGATATATTCAATGTACAGCTCCATCTTTTAATGAAAATTATAAATAAACGCATATGTCATAGATATCATTCACATACTTAATAATCTATTTACCACATTAAAAACGTTGTTTTATACGCAATAAATAACTCGTTTATATTTATTTATTAGGATATGCAGATTTACATAATGGTTGCAAGTTGGGAAGACATCCGACAGATGTCACCCTATTTAAAAAGGATTAAACTTATACACATGATTGACACACACACTGCCAGGATGATCACATTGATAACTAAGTAGGTTTAACACATTATAGTTGTGTTAATAATAAACAAAATACATTCATAAATACTGATAAGAAATGCATTAATGCAAATCCGCTCCCCCCAGCGCGGCCAAACAGAAATTTTAATCCTTTTTTTTTTTATATATATGACCGTATCTTGAAGAATCATGAATAATAACTGATCGAAAAAATTAAAAATAAATCGCTCGTAATTCGCAATTGATCATATCCATGAGTTATCGAATTAAAATATATTTTTAATCTTATCTTTATTATTTTTGTCAGAAGCAAACACTTCGGAATTTTCAATTTTATATTTAAATACAACACACGTGCTTTTTCACATCTTATAATAACATCTAAACTAATACATATGTACTGATACTAATAATATTATAAATAGGCAAGATTTAATTTGACGAAAAACAGCAAATAAAGGAATTAAAATGTAAGTAAAAGTTTGTATAGGGCACTAAAACGTTGCCATAGTACCGTTTTATGTACAAACCAATGTATATTATTCAATTTGTCATTGTAATTATATTTGTGTCATAATAAGAATCGATATCCAAATAAATAGTTTCCTAGGGACCACGCGGACGAAGCCGCTGGTGGAAAGCTAGTAGACCATAATTTACGCTGGTGAAATCATCTAGTTTTTTTGTTTTGAAGAAGCAATGAATAATCTTTACTAATATTAAAAAGGAAAGATTTGATTGATTTTTAGCATTGAATGGACTCTAAAATTACTGAACCGATTTCGACTCCCTTACTTATGAAAAGTTACATCATACACGAGTGACGTAGGCTATAATTTACGCGAGCGAAGTATGCGAGTATCCTGGGATTGATGGATTTACAAAAAAATCATCATCCTCAGCCTACGTCTGTCCACTGCTGGACGCACGCCTCTCCAAGCGCACGCCATCAAACTCGATTATTGGCTACTCATCCCATCTAGTCTGAGGGGGTTCATTTGCCGACCCGCGGTCTCCATTCTAAAGTTTGTTTGCCCCACCGATTTTTCGGTTCTCCGGTTAATATAGCCTACCCATTGCCAATTCTGCTTACCTATCTGGATTACTTTTGTTTTATGACGAAACACCTTTCAGATTCGAACCTTCAAAGAAACTAAAGCATAGCCTCATTGTGAGCGTCTACGTTTCGGTTCTATATGTCATAACAGGTAGGAGACACTGTTTGAAAACTTTCGTCTTTGGATTTTGTGGGATAGACAACGCGAAAACTTGACGTAGTTTACCAAAAGCTGTTCAACCTAACTGTGTTCTTCTATCGATTGCTTTTCGAAATTATTGTGGCCCAACTGCATTATTTGCCCAAGATAAACATATTGTTGAACTTCTAGGACACTGCCTTGTACTATAATCGGCCTCGGTACATAATGGGAGTTGGACATGATTTTCTTTTTGTCCAAGTTTATTCGAATACCGATGTGCATAGAAGAATCAGCTAGGTCATTCAGCATCTGTTGTAGATCCTGAAATATTTCAGCCATGATAACTATGTCGTCCGCAAAACGCAAGTGTGAGATGTGTACGCCATTTATATTTATTCCAAATCTGTTCCAGAGTCATACATATCCTCTAATGCATTTGTGGACAATGACGACACTGTTACTTCGTGCCTCTAGAGTTTTCCCTTCGAAAAGAACGACATTATTTTTTTTTACGGAGTTCCTTCCTTACAGGCTCACCGCCTGCCTTCACGAAGTTAGGCGTGATACCGTCCTCGCCTATTTTTAGCTGTTTGAAAGCCGTCCCAATTTTATCCAAGCTGACTTCTGGCAAGTCCTTTGTAAACTGGCGAGTTAGTATGGCTCTTTCATCGTCAGTTCTGGGCTCAAAAGAAAAACTTTTTATTTTATTTTTTCTAAGCAACATTCTTATTTCCATATTTATCGACTAAGGGTTACCATACTTGTTACAATAGATGTTCATAAAGTAAGACGAACAAACGACGACCCCAAATTACTGTTATTTTGATACATAGTGGATTATAAATTTTAACAGAAAATCGCTGCTGAATTAATTGATCCATCATCATCAACAGCCTATTAATGCCTCGAATCGAAAAGGGCGAATGGGCCACAACCCACCACGCGGACCCAGTGCGGATAGGTGAGTATCATCGACTATAATTGCAGCCGGGACCAAAGGCTTAACATGCCTCTCGAAGCACGATGAAGTTCGAGAAAATATTTTTTTAAACATAATTAATTGAGTTACCTCTACAATTTTAGATGGTGTTTAAGAAAAGTTTTAAAAATTTCGTGATAATTATATGGTTAAAAATCTAAACCAATACTTCTCCGTTTTTGAATAAATACGAAAAACGTCTACCATTTTCATACAATTTCTAATGCAAATAATTTGGAAAGAGATTTTGTTACCTGTGAGAAAACCAAGAAGGAGGTAGGTATAGCCGCCAATCCACATAGTAAATAGAACAGGACCACATGCCAATATCCTGCCTTTGTGGCCAACACTGATGCCTCGTCTAGCTCCTTAGTCCACGAAGTCATAGTCACCTTTGGTTTTTTATAAACAAACACACTAACACATTTTCATACATCGTCAACAACAATTCTGCTTATGTTCACAACAAAACAGTATTTACTTAATCATTTTCCTTAATTATTATTGCAAACACTTTAAATATATTGTTATTTACAACTAGAAGTTTATTACTAAGAATATTATTAAATTAGAAACTTGTTTTGTTTTCAATAAAATTTTAATGAAGTCTTGTTGAAATTATATGAATATCTCTAAACGCTACAGCTTTTAGAAGCTCATTAAAATGTTGATCTTAGAAAATTTACACTTCCATGTTGATAATCACGAACGCAAACGAAAATAATATTTAATAATATTATTGACACGTCTATTTCTAACCGGCTTTACCACGTACTGAGCGTACTTAAATTCTGCGCATACGCATACGTTTATGATAGAGGGCGGCCGTTTTGTGGAGTGTTTTGGCGCGTAGACTTTGTTTTTGGCTTAGACGTTTTAAGCGTGGTCGGGTTTTAATGAAAGAGCATTCAAGGGAACATCGCCGTCACCTCGCATCAATATCACTTATGCGACAGGTTGGGTTAGTACCTGCTACCTTTTTAGGAAGAAGGTCAAAGGGCGCCCTTTCTGATTATCTAAACAACAATATAAATGTTTTGTTTAATTAATTGCTTCAAATTAACATAATAGAAAGCTATCGATAAACTGTATTTGATCTTTACTTATATTTGATAGTTTGTTTCATTGAAAAAACCGAAAACTACTGGACTGATTTTGAAAATTCTTTAACCCTATGAGAAGCTACATCATAAACGGGTGAAGTAGTTTATATTTTACGAGAGAAAAGTCGCATGAAAACGGCTAATATAATATAAATAGAACCAACTTTATAACTCGATCATGGAAATCGTTTTTCGCACTAACTTTAAACAGCACGAATCGAATATTGTGGGTATGAAAAACTTGATAAATACTACAGAGTTTTTGGTAAATTTTGTTCGCTATAATGAATATCTGAGAACCATGATTATTATGTCTGCGAATTAGAGATTAAACAACTTTCGCAAGAACAAATGCAATAAATAGTCCAAGTGCGCGTCTGACTCGCTCACAAAGAGTTCTGTATAATGATCTACATAAAATTCAAAACACTACACGATTGTTTTATGGGCACAAGTATTTATTATATTCTATTTTTAGTTTTTGTTGTTATATCAGCAACAAAAATAGTTGTTACATCATTTTTGAAAATGGACGGATGGAAAGTGGACTGGACTTTTAGTCCAGTCTTTAGCATTCATATATCTAACAGTTGAAATTTTCAAATGGCAACATAAATACATCATTCATGAAGAATTTCAATTTATTAGCCATCGTGATTCATGAAATACAGACTGGTGACCATAAAAAGCTCTGTCTCGAGCTGCTTATGGAAGGCGCATGCAGTCAATCCACACGGCACATAGAGCCACCACCAATCCGTACGGGTCCCGCGTGGTGAATTTTAGCCCGTTCTCCTTATTTGAGTGATTTCATCTATGGAGAAGGCCTGTGCTCCAGCAGTGGAGACAATAATAGACTGGCGACAACTAGAATCGAATTAACATACGATTAAATTCAAACGGACGATCTTAAGTAGGAAATTCAATTATCAATATAATTTATTACATATATTTGATTAGTAATATAAATTACATGTGTTTTTGGTAAAGCATTGTGATGGTGACAAAAACATAAAACATAATATTGGCACCCGACCTTTTAACTGATTTTAAAAGAAGGAGGTTTTATTTTCGATGGGTATGTATCGTTTGGATCATGACCCACCAAGCGGATCCAGTATCGATTGGTAGGTGTTAATGACCACAGATGCCCCAGGAACTAATGGCTTAATGTGCCTTGCGAGGCACTGAGAATTTTGATATAATTGATTTATTTGGCCACCCATTCCATGACCGGCCCTGGCAAAATTTGCTTAACAACCGTATCGCACACCAAGCGCGCAAATGCAGAAATCACTCCGCCAAATAACAAAAAGTACTTAACAAAAAATAATGTTATAAAAGAAAATGGCTTATTTTACTTTCCTATAATTTTTGTAATGTAACATATATTTTTTTATATTATTTGTTATCTTTAAAAGTATCAACATTAATATATTTTACCAAATTTTACAAATAATCCTCTTCCCTTTAACATTTTACAAAAAATAATAAGTTCATAATTGTGCTGTTTGTAAGCTTTGCTACCAAAAGAGTGAAAATATAACCCCTATTTATATAAAGAATTTTCAGTAGGTAGAGCTTAAAGGTTTCATTAAAACCATTATAGATGTTTGTGCAATTGGGTTTATTTCTATTGTTATAAAGGATGTGATTTTTGTAATTCTTTAATTGTTGCATTATTATGATTAATAATTACGTTGTGATATTCATAGCATGTGCAGATTACAACATAAAAATTGGTAGCAGGAGTTACGCATTCGAGTACAATAAATGCAGTCGAAATGCGAGCGACACGTGGAATTTGTGAGACTTGCAGGCTACATTCGAATTTAAGAGAGGAGAAAAAGAGTTGGCTTGAAATATATAGATACAGAATTAAGAAGAAATTAAGACCTCGTATACGCTTATTCTGATTGCGTGTTAGTTGAATCCAAGAACCGTTAAAAACTGCCGAGCGTACACAAAGAGTTTTAAATACATATAAAAGCACTGAAAGACAAGCGGCATGCTGAGGTTTTATGCCTACCTTTGAAGACAAAATATTTTAATTTATCTGATATACACCTAGAGTTGCCAACCGTCCCGCTTTCCCAGGACACGTCCTGGTCTTTATCATGTTTGGATGTTCTTGGTTGTTTTTAAGCGACTTTGTATTAGTTAAGTTACGATTCACGAGTGTTTACAATGTGAGGCGTTGCAACCTTTTGTGGTTATGAAATAATTTGTCGATAGAAAATTTACTAATAGTATTACTGCGTCCTCTTTTATAATGAACAGTCCTGGGTTTCCAAGTTTACGTCCTAGTTTTTGAAAGATAATGTTGACAACCCTAATCATATTGGAACTTTTATTTTCTGTACTCTGACTCCAATACGTTTCTTATTATCTAACACTAACAGGGATTTGAAATAACCTAATACCACATACACAAACACTATTATCAATTTCAATGTATTGAAAATAGAATAATATTAATCAGATTATCGTGTACGATATACGACATATAAATAAATTGCAAAACAATCTTTCGACATATTGATAACAATTATTTTCAACTAGTTAAAGCAGGTTATATATTTGTTTATGTTATGCCATCATAGATTATTGATGCAAATCAACCAATCGTAGGAAAGAGGTACCATGTGATTGTTTTTTTTTTGTTTCATCGAATGGAAACCGAAACTACTGGACTGATTTTAAAAATTCCTATAACTACGGGAAATTACATGACTAACTACTTTGCTCATATAAATTGTAGTCTTATGTCAACCGCATCTAAATATATATAACTCAAAGGTGACTGACTGACACAGTGATCTATCAACGCACAGCCCAAACCACTGGACGGATCGGGCTGATATTTGGCATGCAGGTAGATGTTATGACGTAGGCATCTGGTAAGAAAGGATTTTGATAAATTTCACCCCTAAGGGGATAAAATAGGAGTTGAAAGTAATCCAATGTATGTAATAATATATGTATGTACAAATGTAAAACCAAAACATAGTAAAAAAGACGAGGGAAAAAGAAAAATCCCAAGGACAAGGTAATCAAATACCTAAAATATAAAAAAAAGAATATAAGCAAAAATATGAAATTAAGAAATTTAAAATCCGATTAAAAAAAAAAAACTCCATTAGACGAGGAAGTTCTCTCAGTTTTATTTTTATATTAAAACAAATCCGTCAAAGTTTGGTTTAAGTTTTAGGTCTTTTCGTTTAAGTTAATAGAATTATTTTGAGGATTAATACTCTTTAAACATAATAAAAGTCCAATATGGATATACAATTGAGTGAAGATGAGATTGAACAGTCAAATTGAAAACCTATTCTGATTTTTTTAAGTTAGTTAATAATAAATTACTGTTAATACTAATACCACGCAAACGAAGTTGCAGGCAAAAGCTAGTATGATATAATATAATTTGCGCGAGAAAAAATTGTAGTATGTGCTCAAATATAATAGTGTTCTTAAGGCTAAATCATATGCTCAAATAGTTTTTAGTGAACCCTATTACAAAAACTTTACTGTTTGTCTGTTATCAGGCTGTATCTCATGAATGGTGAAATTTAGACAATTGTAGTTTTCCCATATGATGTATTTCTGTTGCCAGAAATACATCATATAGGAAAATGTATGTATTAAAATATATATACATATATAAATTATAAATAAAGTATACATTTGAAAATAAATAATTAAATTAAAACTAAACAAATATCTAAGGGGGCTCCCACACAACAAAAGTGCTTTTTGTCTGTTACCGGGACGGAACCGTTCGTGGTCGAATCAGACTTGCACTTTGCTGATTTTTTTTGCCTGTGCCGGTACCTAGTAAGTACAAGGTGACTCTAAGGTAAAGTCTACATTCCTCTTATCAAGTTTCTATGTCAACTGAAATAAGTTTACCGTAAACTTTTTATAACAACAAAAAATATAATTATTCAAATAATATGATAAAAGTACTTACTTTTAAATAGTCTAACGTTTCTTCCCTATTACCCTGCTCAAGACGTCTATTGGCTGATAGGAAGAACGAGCGAAAGAATCTTGCCAACTCTAGCAGAAGTAACGAAGTTTTAAAAACCATCTCATTCATCATCAGCAGCCTTTTTTACGTTCTTACTGCAGAGGTTCTGGTCTTCATTATGGATCATAAACCTCCACACTGATTTAATGACTACAAATTCAGCCGGGACCAAAGGCTTAACGTGTCTTTCGAAACACTGAGTATAAAAATAATAAGTTTTGACCACCCATCCCATGCGAAAATTGCTTAG